AAACTGTTGCGATTGGGTCCGCTAAAACAAAATATCTTGAAATGCGAATCACACATGAACATAACCAAAAGCAATATGATTCACTCTTCCGCCATGTGAAAAACGCATGCAGACGGGATGTGACGTATAGAAAACAAGCGAAAAACACTAACCAATCATTGCTATATATTCTTTCAACTAGCGCTCCAAGTGGCCTGGCAATGTCTTGCCAATTTCCCTATCTAAACCTTCACCCCTGTGACCTCTACCCTCATCGAATCAGCTTCACATGTTCAGTGGAACAATACCGCATGACAATGTTATTGGTCAACTAAATAAGGTAACTATCTGCCGGCTGACGGCACTGCGAGTACTTCAAAGTGCCAGGGTAATACCAACGCAAGTGCAGAACCAATTTCCCAAGAGCCCAGTGGTAAACGAGGGCAAGAAGATACAAATCTAAACATGCAACTAAAAAAAAAGGTGTTTAGTCATTCCCAAGGTTAAGGTTTCCTATTAAAAAAGTATTTAACCCTTCAGGGACCTGCAAGAAAGTGAATCGTGTTCCGTATCGCGAAACAACAACGTTCCTGAAAACTCCGAAAATATTATAATCCCTCCTATCCATATTAACAATATTGAAAACATTATAGAACTAAACAATGAAATTAAAACTTCCATCACTAACCAGTTTACCTCAACCGTCAATTCCCTCCCCCTAATACCAATCACCATTTTCCCAACTTACTTCACATGGCCCACATACCAAACTTCACTTATGTATCAGCAACTAACGAGCAATCAAAAAGCACCACCCGAAACCAATCAGCTATTAACTCCCAAAATTATCTCCCCAAAATAACTCACCTCAATATAGTTTCTTAAATTCTCCATTCGTACACAATATCAACTCCATATCCACACAATTAATATCATAAACTCTATTATACCAGCCATTGTTCAAAATATCCAACAAGCTATAGCCTCCTATATTAGCACTGCCCATGACGCACCGTGAATTTAATAATTTATTAACTGTAATGAATTGGAAAGCATGTAGTATCAGCAATAAAAAAAATAGAACTTCAGTATTTTTTACAAGCCAACAATATAGACATGGCTTGCATCACTGAATCATACTTAAAACATTCTTCGTTTCATTTTTCAGGATATAACGTACTTAGACATTATAGAATACGCAAGATGGTGACGTTCTCATATTAATCAAAACTACAATTCCATATCACCAAATGCCTGTCACTGGGCTTCAACTAACAGCAATTTCTCTCACCTGAATAAATATAACTATAATTGTAACTTATAAATCACCCAATCTAATGCCTAATTTCGCCAGCTTAAGAAACGTAATGACAGCGTAGTCACCCACTATACTCTTAGGTGTCAATGCTAAACACTTCCTGGGGTGCAGAGTCACCAATGCTTCTGGATCTTAACTATACAATTAAATACCTACTAACAGATTAAGATTAATATCTCCCCCTGAACTCATATGCTATCCTCGTGACCCAAACAAACTTCCCGATATTTTAAATATAGGAAAAACCAACTTAAAAGGCCAGCTTTGATAAACTCCGTACATCGAGCTCGACTCAGACCACATTCCGGACTTTATTTCCACAGATGAGACCCCCCCTCCTCGCCTAAACCATTTCTTAACAAGTGTGACTTAAAGTGGGTCAAATTTAAGTTATTCAATCCCAAACACTTAAATTTAAAATCCTAAACAACTCGTCTGTTTCAGTTTATTACTGCCTCATCTATTTCAATCTAATAATAAAAATTGTAAATACACTAAAACCCGAAAATCTCGCTACACATTAAACTGTCCAAAAGCTTAATTAAAATAATTCAAACGAAAAGTAAAACGAGAAGACTCAGGCTTGCTCTCGGAGCACTCAGTTTAAAATCAGAACTAAATATTTTAACAACTATCTCCCGAAAAGCCATAGCAGATTTTACACAGACCAAATATAACCGTTAAATACAATCTTTAAACATTCAAAACAACTCTATAATTCTTCTAAAAGGATACTAAAAAACCATTACCCCCCTTTAACTACCGCTATTGGTAAAACCAATTCTGCAAGTGAGACAACTGAAATTTTTAGCCGAGCATTTTGCTGCGGCATTCACCACTAGAATCTCCACTCCCCATCGACTTCATCCCAAATCCAGAACTATGCTCACTCCCCTACTTACAATATACCCCAAAAAATTAAATGTATCGCTCCTCAGGAAATTACAAACATCGTTATATCTCTCCTAAATAAGAAAGCACCCGTCATGAAAGTATTAATAATATTTTAAAAATTAACCACAAAGCCGCAATAGATATTTCATGGGTTCTCCACCTAGTTGAAGATATTGCCAGAAATATCATGAAGCCCCAGATGATGTACGATTTGAACTCGTGGATGAAGTGAATAGAAAATGTTAGAAAAATCAACATCTCTTCTACGACGAAAGAAGCAGCGACGTGGAGCGCAAGCGGTCGTCACCTCATAACCGACTCGGGTTCAGTTTTTTGCTTGGCTCAACGGCCGCGTTGCTTTTTTTATCCCGCCCCTCCCTCCAGCCCCGCACACCTGCCACGCGCCACATGCCCTCTGCGGGCCGAACCCGCCCCGCCCCGCCCCGCCCCGCCCGGGCGCACCACATCCCCTGCACTCGCTTTACAAGGCTCAGCAAATGGGCTGCCGGTGGCACGGTGCACCAGTGTGCTCGTTAAGTATGTAGCTCGTTGAATAAATATCGCCATAGATATTCCGTTAATTATTTCTCTGTTAAAGGAACAACGAAAGGGAACTATTTATTTAGTGCCAAAAACTAGATTTGACCCCATCCTACATTGAAAATATGTTTCTACCCTTGAGTAAGTCATTTTTGACAACATAAAAATGCTTTATTAAATCAAGAGGCAAGCCAATGGTAGAATTCCTATCTTAATTAAGAGACTTAAAAGAATCACCTGTGTGTAATTTTTCTAATTATTCGAACAATTACTTCTTGTAATCTAAAACTCTGAAAGCTATCGGATGTGTTTCCCCAGAATATTCTACCATATTGCAGCCGCGAATGAACATTCGCGATACACATAAAGAGTAGTATCAATCATGACTGAATTTCAAGAATTCTAAAGGAGTAGCTTCGTGAACTTAATTTTGTTTAACTATAGGAGAATTCACGACAATCATGTGGAAGGAGAAAATGTCGATCACGGAATTTGGTCGGAGTGAGTAGAAAATTTAAAACATTGATTTGCGACTCTTCGGAATATTTTTATTCCATCTTTAGCGTTGGTGAAATAAAAATGAAGTATAGAATCACTATAAATATACCCTCACATAAATTTATAACATGATTTACAATAATAAATCAAGATGTATTGAATTGATGCCTGATTTTACGATGTACAATCCCTGAGAAGCATTTTGGCCGGATTCCAACCCGATTCCACATGCAGTTGCTGCTGTGCAAAGTTCCATTTCGAACCATCCAACTCTGGCCGAGGCACGGCAGCAAATGAGTGAGGGTTGTGTTACAATTCAATTATAGGGTCAGAACCTCGCGGTACAGCCACTTAAACATGTGCAAATGATGAAGCCAGTGTTTAATTTAAGCAACATAACAAGAAAACTCGAAACTGAGGAAATACGAGTACTGATGTACTGTAACAATAATTTATATTTCTCGAAGTTGAGGTGGAAATGTATTATGGTGCTCAAAAATAAATAATTCGCTTGGTATTATATTATGTTCTAATCCCTTGTGTTATGCAAGAGTGTTTGTTTAATTTTCCTATTTTAAGACGGAAGCACGTACTAAAGGTAAATGACAGCGATGTAAAACATAACTTGCATGTGTGTGTGTGCACGTTTAATGTGTGTGAAAAGCTTACGTGCTAACTTATATTTAAAACTTAATTCTAAAACCTTAATCTAAAATAAAATTGAAGCTGCCCTATTGGGTCCGCTATTTAGGTTCGAATCCGGAGAAGGTTGTAAGGACTATATTATAGGGAAATCTGATTTTTATTCTGGTGAGTTTAGGATTTTCTTGCGTGTATGAAGGTTGCGCGAGAAGAGATTTGGGGTAAATAAGAAGTTAGTGGCTATGTATGTGATATGATATGATATATGATATATGATGTGTAATGTGTGATGTGTGATGTGAGATGTGATGATTGGAGAACGTCGGTAGTCCCGTGAGTGTAGTTCACGTGTTCTCATTAAACGGTGAGCGTTTTATTCTTGTTATCGCCCTTTCCCGGCCTTCCCGTTCGAGTGACGTGGGGCTGACGCCGTCTGGGCGACGCCCCCATCTCCCGTTCAGACCCGAAACCAGTGATGTGGATGAATCAAGCCTTCCTCCCTGCCTTTTCAACCGCTCAAATCGCTGGACGAACGATTAGTTTTGTAGCTCGCCCTTCTCCCGTACACGAATTTACTGCGTTAGTGTATCGTTCTTTGAATTGTCATAATAAAGCATTTTTTTTATACTTCAGAGGGATTTGTTCCACCCCATAAGTGCCAGTTCTTTGCCGTTTGAAAATAATCTTCGTCTGTGGGAGTTCCCTTTTGAACTACCATAGACTTTTCCCGCGCTTTTATTTGATGGTCGGTACAAGGTAGTCTCGAGATGTTGGCATTGAACCTCAAAATGTGACGTCATCGTTCGATTCGGAGCTACCGCGCCTACAAAGCCGGGTGCCGCAACGAAGAACGTTGTTGACGGTACCCCATTTTCAGATTTTTTTTCGCTGGTAGAAGTTACTCAACCCCCCAATTTTTATAAATACATTGTTAAGTGGTTTAAATGTCGAATAAACCTTATTTATTACGGCAACTCGTTTGACTAGCGCAGGTTATCCTTGTGTACAAATATATCCATTTTCAGCTTTCTTAAAATAGCCTACTTATAAATCCTGGTACTTTAAGCTCTGTAATAATTGTAAGAAATGGGTAGAGGAGAGGTCTCTTTAAAAATGTGTTTTTATTACATCACAGATTTTTATAAAATTCCATTTTCCGAAAACTCTGAAAACACTAACATATTAATTATATGTAACTAATTTCCTTTATTTTTTAATCATACTTCTTTTTAGACACTTATCATTAATTACTTTCCTATAATTATTTCAAGAAATGTTGCTTAAAACATTACAAATTCTATCTATTATATTTTTTACACTTTTATTGCACAAGCTGCAGTGTGAATTAATAGCCTTCTTGCAAATTACCTTGTTGCTCACCTGTGACATAAATATATCTATCAGAATTTTTCTTATATCACTAAAATTGAAAAAATAGTTTTCACAACTGTCTGTCAGTAATAAATTAAAAACCTTGTGCCACAGAATTACAATATCAAACATTAATTGTGTGGGGGATTTTAGTGAGCCTCTTGTTAGCCTATGGATATAGTCAATTATAGAAGCATCACCTACTACTTCAAAATCAGTGCCTGAAGAAATAATTGGCACACATATTTGACAGTTATTGATAAATTTGATTACACTGTCAGAGCAGTGACTAGCAATATTGAACAAGGCACTCAGCTCATTGTGGGTAGGTTAATATTCTTCTGAATTAACAATAAATTCTAAAAATTGTGAAATATTTACTGCTTCTTCACTACAAGTTTCATTATCGCTATCTGTGAGAAAGACAGAAAAAAGGGACCAAATTTTGAAGAATTAAATTTAAGCAAACTCAATTTGTTAATTTTTTTCTTAGAGTCCAATATTTGAGTTACATACACGTTATAATTCCCTCCACTCAGATGTCTGGAATCTTAACAAAAATATACTGAATTAAATCAATAAATACTGCTGTGGTATGTTGCAAAGCTTGGAAAGTGTCTTGAGTCAGTTTGCAAGTATTCAGAGAGCATGTGGATAAGAGGTAGGACATTTTTTCCCAAGCAACTAAAATATCATAAAATTTACAAAGAAACTGTACATTGTTGTCAAAGGGACTTTATATTCTATTCCTAAAAGGATCTTTGAAATGCAACCCACCGTTAGGTGTTTTTGGGATAACAATTTTCCACCAAGTCAATACCGTTCTCAAAAATTCAGCGGTACCAATAATTTGTATTTTCTTTTTTTTCGATCTAAAGCTAAAATATTATTTCCATTAAAAAGTTAATCAACAAGGAAAACATGGTGTTCCAGTGAAGATGGGCATAAAACTTTCTTTGAAAGTGAAGGAGCTACTTTCACCCTACGATTGTCTTCCTTTTCATAATTTTTCTTTGGATATACAATACGTGCTTGCAAAACCAACTGATGGACATCAATATGAGGAAAAACAAAAGTCTGAGAATGATCTTCTTGATTAAGCCAATTATTTCTTCTAGATTTGAACAAATGGATGGAGTCAAAAAGTCGAAATATGTGCTTACAAGGGGAACATGAATTAGGTATAGATAATTGAAGAGAATTAGAACACACTGAGCAATGTATACATACTCTTATTGATGCGATGATTATCACAAATAAGAGTTACAATATTTTAGCGTCAATCCGGTGGCCGAGATCGCTAAGGCAGTAGTGCCGTAGCGATCACGGACCGAAGAATCGCGGGTTCGAGTCCCGCCTCGCGCATGGTTGTATTGCGTTCGTCCTTTCACCAACTATCATCATCATTATCGTGTCATCCTAACAGATACCATACCGTTACAAGCAATAGTGGTCGCTAATGGCATAGTAGTTGATGCAACCTTAAATAACAACAAAAAATAGCCAATTTCTGTCAAAACTTCGACAACAGGCGCTGGAGGCCAAGGAGCATAGGCAAGGCATTGTCGAGGGACTCCGAGAAATTTGCTCCTTCTAGATGAGACGCGGCGAAATCGCATTGTGTGAAACTCCGCAGCGGAGCGTGCTCGTTGCAGATCGCCTCGCTCGTGTAGAAACGAAGTATCGACTGCAAGGAAAGGTTAATTACTTACGTAATGTTGGTAGGGCGTTTCGAAGCTACGAATAGCTGGATCCTCCATGAACCAGCGTGTTCTTGAACTTCGTGTGAATTCATTACACAAGTGTATAGCGATAGGAGCAGTAAGGAACGAATTTTCTTCTATTCAGACACAGGTAATACTGACATTTTCTCCAATATTTAATTATTCTTGCTAATGGTCTTAATACTTGTCGTTTTCAGAAACATCCCTAAAGACAAGGACACAGAAAGACATGTAGCAGTGCTTCGGCCCAATTTTTTCAAAAGCTCTCCCAACACTTAAGATACGTTCGCAGCCTCATCATCGCCCTTCCTTCATTTTCTTTTCCATCTGACTTTTCCTTGTCGAGGGGTTTCCATTGTCTAGACATTGTCGCATACAGCATTCGCTGAATACTGAATTTGTTTTTCCTTTTGGTGTGTCTGATTATATCAGATCATCTACTAATGTTGGAACATTCATACATCTCAACGCACTACTTCTGAGAACGTCAGTTGGTGACTCGGTTTGGTGTTTTCGGCTGTAGCGGTTGACAGTTGGCGCTGTACCTATTAAGACTTGCACATCTGCTGGCACTTGATCCGGCTGTGTTTCCGTTTTAGGCTGCATGTCTAGACCCCCACCTCTGAATCCACATCTGCCTACTTTGAATGTTCTACACGCAACTTGTACAAAACGAAGAATGTTTCATTGTGTTTTCTTCTTTTTCCACTTCTTTCTTAATGTTCTTGAACTTTGATACTCTTTCTTCTTCAACAGTATCGCAGAATTTTTAACGTCAATGATTTGCTCTGAATGTTCTGGTTACAATGTTCTCATTATGCACATTTGATGCGATGTCTTTGTACAGCCACCCTAGACATTTACTGAAATCAGTACTCTTAGGGCTCCAGAGAACACGACCACAAGCTCTCCAACACCGGAGCGAAGAGAGCCTCAGAAGGATGTTCTCGACGCCATGTTAGCACTCCTCTCTTCCATGCCCTCTTCATTGGTTGAAATACAGCGACATCTGCTGGTTGGAGAATTCTTTTGGCGTTCGGACACAGTGCTCTTAAAATTATTTGTTATTAAGAACAGAGCTCACTCGTCTTTTGTGACCATCCACGGGAAGAAAGATATTAGAAGAAAGGGAAACCAAAAGTTTGCAAACAGAGTTCAATTGAACGAAGGGAAGAACCTTCAGTTACATCAATAACATATACAACAGATTTAATTGTTTACAGTGGGAAATTATTTGTCTTCAGAGCGTACCTCAAATTCATTATAATTTAATAATCTGAAATGGTGTTACTCAAATTTTATGTCGTTTTTTCATTGCTCTTACGGTATTTTAAAAACATTTTATGTTCATTTTATCCATAACTTTTGGCGTTGTTTTCGATCCAAATCCGTCCCGTAGTGATTACAATTAATGATACAGTAATGGGCATGTTCAAATTTTAGTGCCCATCATTGTTCAAAATCGTTCTAAGTATATTTTCACTTAATATGGCAAACAAACTATGAAAATTCAATATAAACATTATAGCAATGCATACGAAACAAGTTCCTCAAATTACAGTGATAGGCTCTCCATGCCATATGCAATTCATATTAGGGGATTGCAAAAGTAGACACCCACGACACAGAAATTGCATGCGGAGGGGCTCTCGCTGTTTGGAAATCTAATTATTAAACCCCATACAGTTTCTGTATCCATCACTATAGTGGTGCCCACGACCGTACTAGTTACTCTATTTACATTTCCTATTTATTTTTGGCTTGAGAAGGAGATCGAATACAGTCTTCGAAACGTTGGCAGTAGCAGATTCGTATTGATCAAAATCAAAAATATACTGTCAATAATTCCTGGACCATTATTCGAAGTTAAATTCCAATTAGACGGTCTAAGAAATCAACTTGCCTGTTTCCCGTATGCAGGGTTATTAATAGAAATATTTTAACAAATCATTGTATTTCAAATTTTACGAAAAAAAATTTTTTTTTGTATGTTTTCATCGCAGATGTCGTTTGCCTCTGGCAATGTGACGACCCACATTTCAACCTCCGAAGGGGGGGGTGCTCCTTTCGCAAGGCAGAGTGTTATGATGGCGGCCCTTAAAGGGCGGCTTTGCTACCGCGTACGAGGGCGAGACATTGAGAGACTGAGAAGAGAGAAGCAATTTCTTTCAAAATTTATTTTAGCTTCGAAATAGGTGTGATAAAGGATTAAATTATGGAAAAGTGCCTAAAATGAACTTCATTCTGTCCAATTTGAATTCATTCCATCAGAACGAGGAAGGACACTTATCCCATAACATTGCAAAGACCCATCGTTTAGACGAGTGCTACGGTGTGATGAGTGGTGTACGATAACCTCGCTGCCACGCGGGGAGACAGACGTTCGGTCGGCGGAATCGGGCACTTGGCACCGAAGCGTGACGCGATAGACCCTATTAATCTATATTACCCTGCGGCAATACAAATTCAGGATGTTAAGGACTTGAATGCATTATTGTGTAAGGCAGCGTTAATACCTCGGAAACTTCGTATTACTACTAGTGTTTGTACTCCGCATTTGCCATGTGTCTTCGCAGAAACGGTATTTTGATGGCTGTTTTTCGTCTGAGGAGGAGCAGCGTGAATCCGCGGGGGCGGGCGCGGGGGGCGGGGCTGCGCGCCTGCGCGTGCGCTTTACGGCCAGCGCGTGAGACCGCGCCTCCCGCCGGAGTGGGAGAGGGAGGGGCGGGGAAGGCTCTAGGCCTTGAGAACTTGCAACGCATGGTCATCGCAGTACCAACCACACAGGCGACTAGGGGGAAGTGCACGTGCGTGGCTTTGGGGAGTGGAAGGGATCTACGCTTGCATTTTACATCGCAAGGGTATTAGCCGTGCGCGGATGAGGTGTGAAATGATGATGACATAGACCCGGGCGGGATTAGATCCCGCGACTCTTCAGGTTCGAAGCAGCTGCGGTTCTTTATCCTCAGGGACCGCGACCTCTCCGGGCCGGCCCAAAGGTCGCTTCTGTGGAGCAGCGCGGGCGAGTTGGTTGCTCGTACATCCGGAAAGGCATCCGACATGCTTTGGAAATCCAGAATGCTGGTGACATGATGCAACACGCGATGAAAAAGGTGTGTAACGGGAGTCATTTAGAGGCCAACGGGAGTCAGATACAAAATAAATCACCGCCACATCCTTATTATGTTATCTTCCTCGAAACATTTTGTTATTACATACGAGGTTCTTGACAACTTCGCTTGTTCTATACCGTCGCGTCACGGAGAGAAATGTTTAGCTCATACAATTAATCAAGTAGTTGATTGAACTATACGATATAGTATATTTTGGAAGAACAAAATGCCTTGCATGTTCACGAAAGTATTGAAACTACTGCCGCACATCGTAACGATCACTAAACGAGCGTTGATTAACACATCGAGTAATCTATTTACTGGACAGAGTGCAGTGAAAACAACTAAACGATTCGCTGCCATTTATAAGTTACTAAGCGCTGCTAAGTAAGACCAAACGTGAGAGGGAATCCTTTCTTTCTATCGCTTCCGGCAGGGAACAACTGGGTTTCCGGAACGGTCACCCATCCACGGGCTCGTACTTCCTTCAGCACGATTGCCTGTCGGACGCTGGCTGACGACTTTCAGGTACCGAATGATTTTATTTACGAAAGAAGTATAGTATCACTGACAATTCTCTTGGTTCATTTACTTACGATTTTCCAGGGAGATTTACTAAACGAAACTAAATCATGTTTAGTGAATCTTACCGTAGGAATAATTGTCTTTACTATATAATCGTTTACTGAACGTGTTTAGTACAGTATAGTACAACATTTGTCAGTGTGTACATGCATGGACAAAAAATCGACTTTTTCTTATTCAACGTAAAACGCAACTTTGTAAGAGTTTGGGTGCACATGGCACAGAGCGCGCGGCCTCGCGAGCCTTCCAAAGGGTACACTTTCGGTTCACTAGTTTTTCCTTTGTCTCCAGGCCACCGGGCTGGATCACATGAAGGTTAACCATTCTATCGAAAAACTTACTTTTGTATTGATCCCAAAATTTTTAAATATAAACTTTTAATCCCGGTTGTGCTCGGCTGCGGCATACTGTTTATGTTAAATGTGGAAGATTTCCAAGAGCGCTGCTTTCAGAGTCCACAAATGACCTAGCAAATCCGTATGACGTTCCAACAATACGAGCGGATTCACTATTCTCGGCCAACGAGGTCAAAACTGTGTAGGAATTATTTATTGTTAATTTTAATTATTAATTGTTGTTAATATATAAATTCCGACTCCAGCACGAATACCGCCAAACCGAGGGGTTATTTGCTAAACTCAGAATAGTGTCACTACGTAACTGGACTTTGCCGCAGGCTCTGATTTATGCTGGGTCCTACGGCCTCGGCCGGAGATTGTGTTATCTAGACTACCCGGGACGAGCCGCCTCAGACTTGGCTAACGTTTTCGTCCAGAGTATTGGGGCCTTCCTCAGAGAGTACTTCTGTCAGATGGCTAGCGAGGTCGCCGTATATGGAGGAGAAGGGAGGGCGGGATTGGCCAAGTAGCCGACCAATAGGAAGTGGGCAGGTGGTACGGGATTGGTGGAGGAAGAACGGAGGCATAACGGGGGAGAGAAAAAAGGGAAATTCTCTTAAGAAGGCCGCCTGAGAGGCAAAGGACCACCAGCCAATCAGCGGCCGCGATGGAGGCCCGTCATAGGTCGACCGTAGGGGCGTGTCCCCTTGAGCCGGCACCGGGTTGGCGGGCCGTGAAAGCCCGTTTCCAAGTGGATCTGAGGCAGAGACCATCATCTCGGTTTAGGTTAATGGGCCTGCTTGAACCAACGGTTCTCGGAGCTAATCGTACGGGTCTTGTTAAATTGAATAAGGCGACCGGTTCGTCTACAGAGCGACCCGTTTGGCCGATGTAAACTAATCCGCAACTACTCGTTATCTCGTACACCCCGGCGTGCGAGCGTGGAGCAAGGCGGTCTTTCTCCTGGACCAGGCTCCTCCCGATCTGCCTGCCAATCCGTGACACCGTGAATGTAGGCGAGGCAGCTGTCTTGCGAGGGGGGTGGATGCCTCGTGCGTCGAGTTTCTGTAAGGCACGTTGTACGGCAGATCTGCGGTAGCCATTAGCCATTAGCCTACGGACATGCATACAAATTAATGGGACCCACGTGACGCCCGAAGGCACCGGCGAGTGCAGCCGTTATTTGTGTTTTACAGAGCACGTTTCAGTGATGGCATCGTATGTTAAAATCTATGGTCGAAAGAGCAGAATCAGTTGTGCTTGCCGAATGCTGCAAGTGGCGATTTGTGTAGGCATAGAAACATTTGTACATTCAAAAGGAACCAAGCGCTTCGGTTTTTTAATACTTAGGAGAATTATTTACCAATATTCACAATATGTAACTGGGAAAGTACATGTAAATATCCAAGCAACGCTTGCATCACTTTCCACCTATTTTAGTGCGTCATTATCACTAAGCATATTCTCAACTTTCAACTGAATGTCAACAGACTTATTAATGACTGCCGAAACTGATCCTTTGTCAGCCCTAGTTATGACAATATCATTACGTTCGTTAGTAAATTTGAATGCGATAGCCATGTCATTATGAAGTCTGATGTGAGAAGGTTAAGTTTTATAATGGTTACGCATTAAATTATAATTATTAACTTATTAAATTTTCATTTCTGTGTGATTTAGGAAGTGTACATTTCTTGGATTCAAAACATTTTGTCAGTTTTTCTCGGAGTTTTTGTGCTTTTCCGAAGACTATATTTACCCTTAGAGATGCTACTTAACACCCTGCATTTATGTAGCGGTCCTTCACAGAATCCACAGAATAACGGACATCTACTTTCCAAAATTCAAAACATTGTCATGTAATGCAACGTAAGCAATTCATGTAAATTTATCAAGACAAAGTGTAATAGAAGTGTAAAGCAGATTCTGACGTCGTTTTGTGCGTAGTGTCCGTCCAGTGGGTACTAGTTCTGCATTCAAACTTTTGCTGCTTATAGAATTTATTCAAAACAAACCCCAACTAGGTTTCGAAGATACAGTGATCGCACCCCAGAACCTTGCAGTACCCTTTATTGGCTTCACAAATCTTACTCGAGTTCTTTTCATGATCTTAGTTGTTATTTCTAGACTCGTGACAAATATAACAAATAAAATTATTTTATTTGAATAATTTCTCTTCACTGATAGATATTCTAATAATGAAAGTTCTTTAATTTTTTAGGAATGTTCTCTCTCAAATCGGTAGAAATTCTTACTTCCTGGCGAAAAACGATTTGTCGGCATCATCTACAACACTTAAGCAAACATCACTTATGCAATAACTATCTCTCGAGACATTTTGCAGTCATCCACGACTGTGATTGATAAGATCACAATCAAGATTGCGATCTTTCAGTCAGTGACGATTGTGTAATTGTAAATTGTAAATTTCACGGTGGTTGTTCTTGTTTTCGACTTAAAAATACCGGAGGGAGGTGGCGCAATTCTGACTTCAGATTCAGAGCGTAAAAATTCAGAGAGAAACACATCTCAAGCCTTTGGTTCTGACAATTTTTTTGTGTGCCTGTGTTGTTAATATTTTTTGTGTAATATCTTGTGAATTGATTTGGGCGTAATAAGGAGATCTACTGGACGGCAGTTGTTTCAAAGGGTTAGCGATTATATCATTAAAGATATTGTTCTTCCTATTTCCAATGGAGTGTTTAAATGTTGAAATTTGGGGTTTTTGTTTGTTAGTTTTTGAATTCCATCCAATTAATATCGTTCGTGTTAAACATGTGGGGTTCGGGGTGGAGTGGCAGTGTATGCTGCGTACAACCTGCACATTGCCCGACTACTTAAACGATTCAAATCAATACACAAATTTAAGTGCTCAGTAAAATATTTGCCATTGCAGAACTCATTCCATACTACTAATGACTGTGACCAGCATCAAAAGACAAAGTAATATTGATATTATCAATGATATTTAATTAATTGGTTTCCATTTGGACTGTATAATTTTAAGAGTAAATATTCCAGTAACAAGCATTGCTCATCAGTTTATTTAGTCCACTTTCCTTGACCGTTTGAGCGAATGCTGAGATGGTCCTTTGGTTTTCTTCTGGACATAAATGTAACTTCTCTATCTGCCTAGAATTTTCTAGAGCTCAGTGAGTAATAGTTATTCAAATTAACGTTATCCATATTCTCAGGATAAAAAGTCGATTGCTTCAGAAAGGCCACGATGAGGGATAATAGTCAAAATATGTAGATCGTTTTCCTTTGCGTTTTGATGATACGGGAGTCATATCATACAAATTTTCATATACGTTTTTGTTAAAAAATGTCCTGTATTCGTAATCTAACTTTTAGATATCTTAGGACAGAGATCCCAGTATTTAAGAGTACGTGCACTCAATACACTTCTCCCCATAGTACGTCAGAGTTTTTAACTGATCTTTAGTTATAAGGATAAGTAAATAAATAGATAAATACGTTGTTGGACATATTGTGTATAAGTACAAACTGGCAGCCATCGTTCTCACCCAATACGTTAAACCTTGCCATCGCGGATTTGGAGCGGATGGCCGTCGCGGACTTTCCTGTTCCTTCTTGGGCTAAACGTATTGTTGAAGAAGCACGCTCGTCCTTTCCAATAGGATGAATTCATTGCGGCTCCGTTTCGGTTTCTATTTCGTCCAGCCCCCACCCAAAAACACTAATGGATTCACATATTATTTTATGCGTTTTGTGCGTTAGACGCAGAAGGCTTCTCGTGGAGGCGAAGAGCCTGCATTTGTATTGGTGCCCAGTGTGTTTTACGACACGCATCCAATGACTTTGCCTCAACAGCAAAACGAGACAAAGAGGCCGCAGGCGTGTCCGTCCCCCCTGAAACTTTTGAAAGAGGCTCCGTAGTTCTATATAAAAAACGTTTAGTTCCGTAAATATGATACATTTTCTTGCCCTTTTCTATGCCTATAGTTTGGGGAACTGTTACAAGACATTTGAGGACGAGGCTCTCCAAACCATCTGACAAACCTGTAAATGGTTCGACATAATCCCATTTGTACGTATTTATTAATTTATCATTGAATGTATTACAAAATCCTTATATTTACGACACGACCAACTGGAATAAAATCATTTGTTGGCAATGTTCTAATGTTATGGAGATGATCGACTTAAGAAGACGGACGAACTGAAGAACCACAGAGAAAGTGACGTTTTGCGATGGGACGTAAATCGGCGACGCATTTAGATGAAAGAAAGGCAAGACGATTTTGGCGGCATATTTGATTGAGGACAATATCACGTAAATCTAAACTAACTAGAATATTTGGGAAAGTCATAAGTGAAGTGTACGTATGGAGGGGAGAATTGGACATGAATGGATTTTTGGTTATTTCAAAGGTGAAAAAGGCAAACCTAGGTACTGTTCTTGTAAATTGTTAAAGAAATTAAATATATTACTCTTTTCAGTTCGCAAACAATATTGTGAATTATTATTGTTATTGTTTTTATTCGCGCATGAGCAGATACATTTTTTTTCTATCCGAGAGAGATCAACGTGTGGAATTCTGGGGTTCAGCCTTTCGGCTGCATCCCGTGGTTAAGACAGGGTCGTTAGCATTGAATATCAATAATGCGGGATGAGATGAACTATTATTACTATAATTACTAGTATTATTATTGTTGTTATTCTATGTTGGTGTTGTTGTTGTTATTATTATAGGGTGATAAAGTGTGAAAGGACTAGGATGATGGAGGTGGTGTTAGGTGGGATATTGGGAGATCGGAGGCTTTCGTGGGATTTTGAAACATAGACTTGATAGCTATAGAAATACAGGCTCCACTCTTCAGGATTTTTAGATGAAGTGCGGTTGGTACCAAGGAAACGGGTACGACCTTCCCCATATCCCAGCCAATACCGATTTCCCTTTCCCATTCACCGCTACGCTCTGTCCTTCCCCGCCTCACCGCACTTTCACAGGGGAGATCGTCGAGGTGGCGTGCAAGTGGAGTGGAAGAATATTGTTGCGAACGATTCGCTGGCTTGTTTAGATTCGGGAATGAATTTCGTTATTTTTAACAGTGATAGCGGCAAGCTCTCTCAGGAATGCAACGAATGGAACGGTGACAAGGATATCGTCTGTCAACGGGCGAACTTCGAAATCGGACACCGGCCGTCTGGGCCAATGGAGCGAGCGGCTGAACAGGCCTTTCCTGGCTGTCTTCCTCGAGACGCAGGCGGCGCCAGGAGGCTCCGCCCCTCCAGCCTCGCCCCTGCCAACACCGCCCCAAGAGTCTGGAGAACGTTGCTTCTATTGCTGGTGATATCAAGATCTATTTGCTGAAACGTATTCACTTGGGAGTGGCAACACTCCTTACCTGCGAAACGCCCATGACAGATGGGTTGCCTATCAGCAAGGGGCAAATGTCATTTTCGGTAAAATTTATTGTACGTTTTACACACCCGTAAAAGTATACGACATGTATTCTTAGGCACCTGTAAAATATGTGTAATGAAATTTTCTAATTAGTGCTAAAAGTTCCAATTATTTTCGAACTAGTCGTTGTTTTGTTGTTTCGAAACCTTGAATGTTGAGACTAGAGGTTTCTTTCTTACTGCAATGTGTTCCTTAATATTATATTTCTCTCATATAATGCACATTGTTTTCAAAATATTACTTTTTGTGTAATTTTACGTTCTAGTGTAATAGAGCACAATTTTGTGAATGACATAGAAACGTCATTCTGTCAGTGAAACTTCGGCACTTGATTACGTATTTTTTGAACCTGTCGTGTTTCGCCGGTTAAAAGTTTTTCGTGGGCACTGCAATGTTATTGGTATGGAAGGTGCAATATAAAATTGAGCAATAGTCGCCCCGAGCGGCCCGCGTGTGCGCCGGGCAGAGGCGAAAGTCGCTGACGCCCACGTCTCTTGTTGCAGGCCGCAGCCATGGCGCTCTTCAGGCAGCTGCTGGACGACTTCCACGACCTGATGGACCGCAATGGAGGTGAGTCGCGCCCGCCAGCGAGAATCCCAAGACGACATATTCTCCTTACATACCTTTCACGGCTGACAGCTCAACTACACACATTTTTCTATACCAGGCACTGCCAGTAATTGCTCAATTCTTTGAGTGATCATTGTCGATGGGAACTAGCAGTATTGGCCTAGAGCTCGCGTATTTCCTACAGTGCATTATCGGCTACTTTAAAAATATATAATTCCAGAAACCGAGTAATTGTTCTGAATGAGTGAAGGCCAAAGCAGTGATCTGTGACGCCGGGAACGCAGCTCTCCTATTGCTCTGCTCCTATTGAGCTGCCTTGCAACGCGATGCAAGTACAGTGTTACAATGACTGTACGAAAAGAGTCACAATCGGATTTACATTTTGATTTCTTGTTTATTTACTAATTATTCATCAGAAACCAGTTAAAACTGGTTGTGATGTGCTATGAGGAAAAGCGCAATCTCTGCAGGTTTATTTAGTGCGGATAAGGGTCCTTCAAGTCAATTTGTATTAACTTTTTAAGTACGCTTGAAAATCGGCAGAGGTCAAACTTTCGATGAATAAAGTTACAAGGGTTTGAACTTTTTAGATTTCTTCCAAGAACTACAATATTGAAGATGAAGATTTCTTTACAAAACTGCCCTTTAAAATTAATCATAAAAAATGTTCATAAAAACCTTAAAAAATTAACTTAAACTTAGAAATTCAAATATTTGACTTTAATTTTTAAAGCGTCAGAAAAGGTTTGCTTACCAGGAGAGGTGGTGCAGGGCATCAATTGAGTTCCTGCAGTACATCTGTCCGGGAGGTCCTAGGTTCGTGCCCCGACGGTGGCAGGATTTTCGACACTAGCTAAATAGAATTCTAGCGGCGGGCTGCTCTGACCCCAGTTTTTCGTATTTTTTTTCGATCATCAGGCGAATGCCGAAGCAGAATCCTCACAAACGGGCCGCGCGAGAACTTTTTTCTCCTTCCTGTTTCCGTCCTTATTCCTTACTTACACACACACTTACATGTACTACACTAAGAAACTAAGGTGTGGAAGGAAATTAAGGTGTGCCAACTATAAAAAACTATTGTGCAAGAACTGCAACTATCTCTGCCAATCTTACTCGAATTTTCAAAGTACTGGAACAAACATTGCAGCAGCTTTGGAGTGTATTTAAATGTTTGGTAATGAGAAACACAAGGAGAAAAACAAGGGAATGAGAAAACTCATTCTATTAATTTTTTTAAATCTAACCCTGATCCACAATATAAGAACACTGCCATTCAACGGTCGAAAAATAAAACACAAAAACGCACATCAAGGCACCGTAGGGACATTCATATGCGTAGATTCCATGAATTCTCTTTGGCGAACGTCCCATAGCAGTAGTCTGCGGAGTGGATTTCACATCGGTTCAGAGATGCAAGGGGCGCACGGAGAAGAAATTGCCGTAATCAAATATGCAAAATGTAAATATCATGCAAGATAAAGCCGATGCATTCAATAAGTATTTTAAATCGGTATATAATCTCAACGTAGAACAGATTCAAATTCAGATTATGAGAAACTGTGACTTAAAATTAGAAGTTAACAAAGTAAGAAAACAAATAAAAGCACAAGAAACAGAAAATCTCGTCCCCGGAATGCATAGCTTCCGAAATAATAAAACTTGGAGGAGAACCTCTTATGCCATATTTTGTGCGATTATTCAATATTTCCATTAACAACATGTGCATTTCAGGAGCTGAAAAACTGCTATCGTAGTTCCGTTTTCGAAGAGATGATCTAAGACTCAATTAGAGAATTGTAGGCCTTAATTATGGAACAATTAAGAACCATATAGTAGAATGCATTCGTCAAAAATGGGAAAAGGAGAGTTGTTTCATTCGAAATCAGCAAAGATTGGAGAAGGGGTACTCGTGCGAAAGCCAAATAGCTTCTCTGTTTTTTCTGCTAAAGAAATCGATTTGGGAGGGAGGATTGTAGCTGCGATAATAGATTTCGCAAAAGCTTTCGATGTTGTTCCGCATAATTCACCTATCGAGAAACTCTCAAAATCGGACATTGACATAAGAATCATGGCGTGGTTTAATTAATTTCTCCAAGGTCGGAAACAGTGTATACGAATAGGTAAACCGAGAGTATCAAAACAGTGGTCCCACAGGGGACTGTCATTGTCCTCCTATTTATTCTTGTCTTCATTAATGACTTGACGGAAAATATTACATCGCACGTTCAATTTTTTACAAATGACTGCATCGTGTCATTAAATCAGACATGGATGATGAACATTTACAAACAGATATTAACAAAATAACTTACTGAGGAATCTCCAATAAAATGAAAACGAAATTCACTAAAATCCAAGCCATTACGTGTTGTAGGACTCGCAGTTATCCCGTTTTATCTAATCAATGAGGCTTTGGCGTAATACATCGGATCTCTTGTGTAAGTATTTGAGAGTTCGCTTAAATTCAAAACTCAGCTAGGATAAGCATGTAAATTACATACTAGGAAAAGCGTGGAGAAATTAACACTTTGTTACGGGCAATCTTAAGAAAACGCTGACCAAATGCAAAAGCGTTAGCTTAAACGTCTTTTATTCGTCATATTTTAAAATGCGGTGTCTGTCGCCCTTCCCCTCAACGGTCTTCGAAACATCTCCTTAGAAATAGGTTAGATCGAATATAATGTGCTTGTAGTTAAATTCATTGCAGAGCAGTGCAGTGTAGTGTTGGGTTTAGTGAGATTTTTCAGTGAGAGATTCGGGTAAGAGAAAACAAGCGAAATGGATCGGGCATGTCATGTGAAGTGCGAGCTGACAATAAGCAATATCGTACCGATAATTGATGCAAGAGTTCTGATTCTGTGGTTCATGTGCGTTTATATTTATGTTGCTTATTAATCGGTATTTATTACATTCTATATTATTTTTATTATTAATATTATGAAATTGTTCCACCAATTCTTGTTAACTATGTGCAGAATAAAATGAAAATAAAATGTATTTAAATTGTAATAGAGTATAACCCTGTGTCAGATAATTAGGTAAATAAGGTTAGTTATATGACAAAATGATATAGTCATATAATAATAATAATAATAATAATAATGAAAGTATATTCTAAAGTGTTCTAAACTTGCGTAATCTTACAGCAGCAATTAATGTGTATGCAATACCAATTATTACATTGGAAAGGCTTATAAAAATCCAAATACCACCTTGCCTACAAGCTCAATCCAAAGGGTTACACTCCCAAGAAATATGAGAGGTCGTGGCATCTTTAAACTCAGCCATATCCATACAAAAGATCATGAGCGTTATGGAGTACTTCGGGCGAAAGCTGTATCATCACATCTACATAGAGTGTCACAGGAAGCAGATGATAACTATACGCCGTTATGTCTGAACCAACATGTAATTGATCTCCAGCAACCACCCTTCGGCAGAGAAATAGAGATATGGGAGTAAAAGTCAAATCACGGTAGATATCTAGCTGAAGTAGCTAATTCCTATGTCGACGCTGATTTGTCGAAGAAATAGCTCAGTATTTAGATATCTATGTCCTTAAACTGAAGGGGTCATGGATGCAATCCAAGATCAAACAATTGCAACCAATAATTATCTGAAATAATCCAAAATCTAGATGTGCCCTCTGACGGTCGCCAGGCCTGTGGTCAATGTAACGAGACTATTGAGCACTTTATCTCTGGCTCTAGTGTACCCACTGACTAGAACATGACATAACATGGTGGGACGAATTATCCATGCCCAACTTGTCAAGATTTGTGGTTTAGCACCATGCCATGATACGCCATATTACAAGTATATCAAAAAAAAACTTGAAAACAACAGCTATAATCTCTATTGGGACCGAAGTGTACTGTCAGATCAAACAGTGCACCACAAGAGGCCCGACATAACACTGAGATAAAATCAGAAAAAAAGTTTGGTTTGTGGAATATGCAGTTGTTGATACGAGCAATTTTTCGACGGTGTATTAGGCTAAGATCGAGAAGTCCCATATCGATGGAATATCCTAGATACAAAGACTGCCCGTGTCGTTCTTTCACTAACGATCATCAAGAAGTGTTGCCATTAGTCCGCAGAAGTCTATTTTACTCTGTACGTGCCTATTGGTCAAGAAATGTTTGGGGAAGTAATGGAAATGTTTGGCTTTTATAATAATCAATGTTAATGTTTCTGAATTGTACCCATAAATATGGATCTGTCGTCTCTTATTCTACATTTCTTTTTAACAAAAAAAGCTAACTTAAAAGAAAGCTAAGCTTAAAGAGCTAACTTTAAAAATCCACATTGTGTTTATATTTAAAAAACAAATTGTGTAACTGGTTAATTTTATGTATATGTATATATGTGCATGTTTTCTAGGTGTAACTAAATATATGTTCTTCATTTAAATGTAGGCATATATAATATGTAGGGCAAGTGTGTGTGTGTTCGTGTTATGTGTGAACGTGAGAGTGAGCATTCATGTGTATGCATGTGTGTGTATGTATGTGTGTGTGTGTGTGTGGATATATATGTGTGTGTGTATAGGTGTATATATGTGCCATAGATGTATACAGGTCTGTGTATGTTTATATATTGAGTGTATTGTAAATTGTTTTTATATGGTAAATTGTTTTTGAATTAAAAATGTTCATATATTGTAAAACTGTAGGGTTATGGCTACCACCTGGCAATCAGCCAATTGTAGCCAAATAAATATATTATTATTATTATTATTATTATTATAACAAAGTGACTTGTAATCTGGTCGATCTGACCGCGATCTGGCCCAGAGACCTCCCATACGTAATGTATAGATTGAATTAGCTAAAATTGGATACTCTTAGTCGTTCGGTTTTGTAAATAATTAACGTTAAACTTTGAACTGCTTGTGGAACTGCTCGTATAACACGGGCTATGACAAGAAAGCGAGGGGCTGCACTTCTCGTTAATGCTAGCAACTTGTCTGGAAAATTATATTATATTATACTATTAAT